ATCTCACCTGATCAGAAAGGATCAATGGCCTACCACGCGTCATTGGATTATTGTTTTCACCGGAGTTGTGGAGAAAGATAGGGTGTACCTGCAAGACACTTTGATGCTTAAGTGAGTAAAGGATCGGAGAGAAAGAAAGCACCGAGATCATGTGTGAGGAAGAAGTTACCTGACCCTCTAGTGAAAGAGGGTATTTATAGAGTGTCCTTAGCACAGAGCCAACGGTTACATTGTATTGGCTCAGACTGTTAGGCCCAACCCAAGTAACTGTCAGGGCTTACGTGGCGTAGTGAAGACTAGCACGTGGTCTTCTCCCTAGATCAACTGCCCCGTGATCTTCGGAAGGTGGGTTAACCAACTCTTTCGGAGGTGGATAGTTGCTTGATGACGTGTTCCCGCGTGGGGAAGCACGTGGAGAACATGGGGAAAACGTGCGAGCCTCCCCGTCAAGGGAGTCGTCTGCTCGACATATATGCCTTGTTGAGGCTCGTGCCCAAAATAGGGGAATTGGGTATTGCTGGGCCCTATCAACATAGTGTTGGGTTGGGTCTGCCCGACTGAGGGGCATGTCCTGGCCCAGTCCAGAACAATACTTATGATCCCTCACTCCAAAATAACACATTATTTTTTCTCACCACTAAATTTTATGTCTATTCTATTTAATCTTTCACTACAACAAAAAGGATGGATTACGACAGTTATTTTGGCAGATTACGACGGTTAAAACCACCATCAACTATATTCTACGACGATTGTAGTACCATCGCAGAAACGTGTGTCCCCAGGCTGTTTAGTGATGGTTGCCAAAACCGTCACACCAACCATCGTTATATTTCACGACGGGATGGAACTGACCTAAACTGGAGATGGCGACGGTTAAAGACCGTCGTTACTAGCCTTTTGATTTTTGTTTTCATTGTTGATTATGAGGGTTTAAAACTGTCGTGAACTCTATTTCACGACTGGTTGGAACTGACATAAACCGGAAATGACATCAGTTAAATGCTGTCGTGAATATACTTTTGATTTTTGTTGCCATTGTCGTTTTTGTTACCATTGTTGATTGTGACAGTTTAAAACTGTCGCAGAAAACGCCGCAGGTAATTGGAAGTTTCGCAGAAAAAGTCACATCAAATTGTAAATTCGCAGGTAAATTCGCAAATAATTTCTCTCTCAGGTTTTTAATTTTTATTATTAATTGTGTTTAATTCATATTTAAAATATTATAGTTATTGTTAAATATCAAAGTAACAATAATATAAAATTATAATCTAATTTGAATAAGACAATGCAACACTAATCACATTCAAATTTTTAAAGTAACCAAACATTACTATAAAGTCAATAAGAAGTATTTCTAAAGTTACATTACTAAAATGGAATTCACCACAAGCTACAATTCACCACAAGAATATCAATATCTCTTGGTTCTACTGCGAAGGTGTTGGATTGAACAAGCTACAATTCACCACAAGAATATCAATATCTCTTGAATTAACACCTGCTTTAGCAAAAAGCGCATCTAATGCTCCGAACATTACTGCTTCTGCTTCTGCTTCTTGATGCGCTTCTTCCATACATAGATTTGGTGGACGGGGAGTTATTCCCTTCGGTAAACACGTTTGGTCGCCTAAACCTGCTCTGGATAAAATTTTGTGTTGGAATTGAAGTGTTTCTTCTCCGAATTTGCCGCTATCTTCTAACATTTCCACAAACGATTTCACTGTTATCTTCCGTTCATTTTCCAGTTTGTAGCAGGAAAAATCAACCAAGTATATTGGCGAAGCTCATTTCGCATAGTACAGAGCAAAGAGGAAGAGGAGAACGATTGAACCGACCGCGGTCTCCACTTCGAGTTGGATGGTGTGGTTTGACCAGAGCTCTGAGAGACGGTCGAGTTTCAGATCGGTGAGTTGAAATTTAACAGCGAGAAAGAGAGCTGTAGCGTTGACCTGACCACCACCACCTATTCCAGAGAGGGCGTTGAACATTCCTGGACAACAAAAACAAACTAACCCAATGAGAATGATTTGTGCAAGAGGTGAATTGTATCTGAAAAGAGGTGAAGACTCCATTCAACATTCAAGGCACTATGAGTAACCAAACTAACATGGAATTCAGAATGTAGAACCGTTCCATCCAAAGTTGGAACCCTGCAACACAATTAAAGCAGAAAGGTCAGCAAAAGAAGCAGAAGAAACTATTTACTGAGCATAAAAGTTAACACTGAAATAAAGTGAGGTGATGCGAACTGAAGATACATATAGAATTACTAATTAAGCCAATCACGTTCATGATTTCCACTACAATATGAATAAATGTGATATCCTTTTAGTCTAAAAGAATATGTATAACTCAATTCAAATGTCAATGTCATAAAATGATTGCAAGCACAAACAAACCTTGCTATCATATATGGAACTGTCGAAGAAATTTCTTGCACTTGAGCTGTGAATTGGTCCCACTGTGAGATGTATCCATTTGCATATGGAAGATCTCCTATATGGAAAATAATGTCAAAGTTGTGTAAATACTTGATGAGCTGGTCTGCGGTGTTAAGTGAACCAGGTTGGTAATTAGCATATTCATTTGAACCATCACGCTCAGCCTAAAAGACATTTGAAAGAAAATTGGTAATTAAGCAGAAATATGATGACACGTTGCAATGAGTTCTGGCCAGGATATGGGGATGCCTTGAACGAGTATCTCTTACTCCATACATAAGAACCATTGGACAAGAAATACCCCAACCTGTAAGTGTACCTGGGGGAGAACAGGGGAGGTTGCCAACCTTTCAGACCAAACTCTACCAACACAATCTTACATGAACAATAAAAATAGTTGAATGGATACCTCATATTTGGCCAAAGTTCTTTAAGGAAACTCATGTGTATAAAACCAGGATCACGCCAGCCAACAGTTCGCGCTGTTTCACCTATAGGTCAAGAAATGTCCTCGTTATTTGTTTGGATTCATTTTTGTTAAATTTTCATGTATAAACTTGTTTATGTAATAATACTTACCACACATGATGTTACGATTAAATGTCAATTTTCCAGCAGCAGATTGTACCTGTCTTCCGCCCTTTGGACCCCATTCTACAAAGGGTACAACTTCATCTATGTCATATCCACTTGTCCAGGTAACTGTCATCTGTCATCGATTAAAATATTTAGAATGATTAGTAAAAAAGTAATATCCTATCAACAGATTCATTTAAAACTAATATTTTACTATCGTATGAACTATGAACCAGTGTCTGATTAGGATAAGTTAGATTAGTGGTATATAATTAAACTTACTTCATTCCAAGACTTCCCTTGATGCACAGACAACTTGGCATATCAAACCCTTTGGCATATCAATTCATGACTAACAAGTATTGTACGAATACAATAACCAAGCATGTACTTAATTAAAGGAATTGTCATTCTTAAAAAGTGTAAGAAAGCAAAAAAGAATCCATGCCCTTTTACCTGAATTGAGAACACGTCTTCAATGGGCATCAAGAAAGGCTTATCAAGCTGACGAACAGGGTCAGGAATGTATTCATCTACAACATCCATTAATTTTAGAATGGCCTTACTGCCAATCTCTTCATTTGTACCATTTAAAGCAGACAGTGTTGAACCTCTAATGATAGGGATGTCATCCCCAGGGAACTTGTAGAAGCTCAAAAGCTCTGCCAGATACACAATTAACAAAAATACACTTCAAAATTTACCAAATAGGAGGACTACAGAAAGTTACAAAGGTGTGTTCTTATCATGAATACTAACAGGGAAAAGGGAGGGAAGGTGCGTTGTTAGAAAAACACTCACCACGAAGCTCCATTTCTACAAGCTCTAACAATTCTGGATCGTCAACAGCATCAACTTTATTTAAAAAGCAAACAAGAGATGGCACACCAACCTGCACAATTCATGTAAAAGTAAATGAGTGTTAATCAAGAAGCAAGGAAGTAACGGTAGACCTATAAGTTTGCTTCTATTATTTACAAACCACTTCAATAGAATACCTACTTGGCGAGCTAGAAGAATGTGCTCCTTGGTTTGAGGCATTTTTCCATCAGGTGCAGATACAACAAGGATACCACCATCCATTTGGGCAGCTCCGGTAATCATATTATGCAAAGCAAACAATTTTAAATATGTGCAATAACTAAACAAGCACAAAACGGAAGAAACATGTTTCATAAAATAGTGTTGATGGTTGAATAATAACTATTTTGTGCTTTACTTAAAACTTAAAAGAAAACTGATTGAGAAACACCTAATAGTACATTAAGGCATGTTGTAATACTAAAGTCACATCAGACAAAGCAGTAATCCGAGAGACATGGCAAATTTTTAACTTATCAAAATTTCTAATATTGAATAATACACATGCTTATAAATTAGAGCAATCTTTATCCTATAATACGGTTTTGTAAAGATGAATTATACCTATAACACATTTTTTAACCCTTGGATGGTTTGTGTTTTGCTGTTCATAGATCAAACTTAAGATTTAGATGTTATGCGAAGTCAACAGTATGTTTATTAAAATGTCTAAGCTGCACTAATTTCTTAATGTTTGTTTCAAATCTTCTACAATATATGATGAAGTGAACAAATCCAATTTTAGCAAAAATATTTGAAGGTTGTTCAACATAGAAGTTGTCTTCACAAAATGGAACTGGTCTAATTACTTCAGTGGTTCAATTAGCATCTGAAAAGCTTGTTTATAAATGTTCAGCTACTTACCATTTCCAAGCCAATTTTATTTATGTTCTTGATATGTTGTTATAACAAATCACAATGGTTGAGTTAAAAGGATATGTGAAAACAACATTCATACCTAAGAACTTGCCATGAAAAGTATGTGGCCAACCAACCATAATTCTACCACCATTATATAGGAATGTTCTTGGTGTACACAGTTGACTCATGACATATAAACTTTATTATTAGACCCTTAATTATAGTTTCAACACCTTGCTCTTATTAACATCATTGATCATGGAAAATCATAGAGAAGATGAGATTGAAGACAACATGTCAATGTCACCGCCTTCCGTCGGTTCCATGCAGATTGCAGGAAGCAATGGATTTGGTCATATCATGGAGTTCATGTCTCAGGCATACCTTCACAATCGGTATCTGGAGATTGATATACCAGTCGAGGATTCAACTTTCAACCAAGATCCTCCTCTTCCGGTATATCTCAAGGTACTGAAAATTTTGAGCAAGGTTTTTATTGTATCATAAATCGAAGTTTTTTCTTTTATCACATTCTCAAGTAATGTGCAGTTTGAAGACGTAGAGTTCAAAGTGCGAAATTGCCAAGTAGCTTCCAAGAACCCTGTGAAAACAATGGTGTCAAAGGTAGCCACACAAAACAATGTGGAAGAGAAAAAGAAATACAAGACAATTCTAAAGGGTATCACTGGAAGCACTAATGTGTAAGATAAGATTAAGGAAAAGCAATTTGTTTAATTGTGAACAAGTTAAAATAGAATCTTCGTATTTTAAAGCATTTTGACTTGGAAAGTATTACTTATTACAGAGGTTAGGCTTTTAATACTAAATGTATTTGTTTGTATCCATTTTGTCTTAAATTTCTAATATCACGTGTGCATGTCAAATTGAATCATTTAGTAGATAGATTATGTAATTAACATATCAAAAGTTATCAATAACAAAAATGAAACTCACAAAAATAGTTCCTCTTAAAAACTGCCCATAATCAAATTATCAATTATATTATTGCAAACAAGTTAAATGCGGTTTCACTCACATTCTTCTCACCCTCCCTTACTTCGTTCAGTGCTTGTCTTTCAACTAACAGTAGAGGAACTTGCTGATCCAGTTTCATATTTATGCGTTCATAGAACCTTAGCATATCAGCATGAAGGGGCTGGCATTCGTTAGTATCCATGATAGCAGAATCAAGACACTCTAAGCAGAGTTTCCTTCCATCCTTAAGGGCAATATATCATGTCCCTTGTGGTTGCATGTGAATACAATTGTATCGTTACATTCTTTTTACTTTGCTCCATACAATTTCCTCCACCTTTCCCTACACAAGCCTGTGATTAATATTTGATCATATAAAAATACTAAATTGGACTGACCTCCATTCGCTTACAGCTACAACAGAGAGGAGTATTATCATAATTTCAAAAACATATCGGAACATAAAACATGTCGTAGTTTCTATTGTCCAACTACGGTTGATTGAATTGATATAGTTAAAATATTCAAATGAACCTGATAGGAAAATGTAGGTTATAGCTGATGATCAGATTACACGATGATACACTAAAGTTAATGCCATGTAATAAAACTAACCCAGAAGCCATCTCTTTGAAGTTTATGTGCCGTTTCAAAATTTCATCTTTCAGGTCTTTCAACGCTTTATATCTACAAAGAAAAAAAATGAAAACTAGCATCTTAAGTTCCCTGCATCAAATTTCCTACACACCAAAAAACAAAAGTAGGTTCCTAACATAGCTGTGTAATTCGGTACGTAGCACAGCAAAAATTGAAAACAAATAATTTTCTCTGCACCTTTCTATTCGGTGATAGTTACACCACATGAAGATTAATTGACCCCATAAATGAAGACTCACAGACCTTAAGCATAAGTCTCATCATTCATGTATTAATGTCTGTTTGGTTCTGTGGTGACGAAAATTGGTTATAAGTGAATTGATTTTGTTCAAAAGTGAGTTAAATGTAAAGTGATTTATGTTTGGATATATTTATGTAAATATGATTTGAACAAAAAATTTCAGTGTGAAAATCATATCTAAACTTGAAAGCTAGAAATCCTAGATTTGGTAGGAATCAATTGTAGAAGCAAAATCAATTCTACATCAGAGAAAACAACCGAACCTACACTTTAGATTATTGTAGGCAGTGTTCTTAGAAAAAACACTTACTCTTCTGTTAACAAAACACAACACACCCAGATAATAACAATTACATCTTCTACTAAAGAGCGAAACTTTCTAAGAGAAGCGCAAAAACAAAACACACCCAGATAATCCAAACAAAAATTCTATAAAACGGCAACCAAATTACTTGCCTTTTGCGGAGAAACTGAGCAAATGCTTTATGAGAAATGTCACGTTTGACGAGAAACCCAACAGGGTCATAACCCTTTTCACCATCGGAATCAGTATCATTGGTATTAAACGGTTTCTTCTTCCGATGGCTTTGTTGTTGTTGGGGGGTTTTGTTGGGAACCGGAACAAGCGGTTTTTAGAGTGGTTTTTCTGCGGGAAAAGGTAATGGTTTGGTGATGAAGAAATGAAGAAGTGGATTTGGTTTGAGTTTGATGGAAGAAGAAGATATTGAGCGGATTTGAAAGAGTTGTTGTCATTGTTGTTTGAGAATGGATAAGGAAGAAATGAAAAACAGTGACAGAGTTGGCAAGTTATAATCTCGAAAGAGGCACACCATATACTTGACCAGTCTGATTTAGAGTTTAAGAATACTAACCTGGCAAGATTGGTTTAGGACTTGTGGTGTGGAATAGATACCGATGAGGCGTCACTGGCGCCGTTAGGGTGTTTGCAGTGGTGCGGTGGTGGCTGCTTCAATTTTTCCAAATATGAAAAAAAAAAAAAAAAAAGCAGAAAAGACATGATTTTGAAAAGAAGAAATCAATTTTCTATTCTAATTTTGGTCACGCGGTTTTTTAACTTTTGACATGCGTTCTTTTAACTCTTGTCTAAAGAGTATACACGGTTTTTGAATTAATTTGGGGGCGACGGTTGTTGAACCGTCGCATACTTCTTTTTATGGCGGGTAGGTCCACAACAGTCGTAAAATGTTAAAAAAAAATTATATATATATATATATATATATATATATATATATATATATATATATATATATATATATATATATATATATATATATATATATATATATATATATATATATATATATATATATATATATATATATATAAACATTGCTATCAAAATTAATTTTAATAAAAATTAACTATTTATATAATAAAAAAGAACATATTTTACTATTATTTTAGACAAAAATATTAAGCTACATTGTCATGATAATTATAATAATTATTTATTTAATTAATTAATAAAATTGAAAAGATTGGAAACTATAAATGAAAGAAAAAAAAAGTGGAAAATCAAAGGAATAAAAAAAATAGTGATTATGATTGGTTAAAGTAATTGCGACAGTTCGCCTTAACTGTCGCGAAACTGTCGCGAGTGTGGAAAGAGGGCGGTTCTTTAGTAATTGTCGCAGTTATTTTATACAACATGTCTAAAAAATATGCGACGGTTGGCTCAAACCGTCGTGAGAACTATCGTAGTCTAGGAATAAGGACGGTTTTTTATAACTGTCGCAAAAAATTTACGACAGTTGACCCTAACTGTCGTGACAACCGTCACAATTCAGAAATAAAGACAGTTTTGTGATAACTGTCGCAACTCAAGTGTCGTAAATCTCCTTTTTTCTTGTAGTGTTTCTCTTTTAAATAGCATACATTAGTATAATCAAGTTAATATTCAATTGTTTTTTTTACTTACAAATTTCTCATATTAGTTTCTCTTATGTTAAATATTTAATTTTTATTATATACGATTTAGACATGTATTGTATTTAAAAATATATTATAGTATTTATAAAAAAAATAATATAGTATTACTATTAATAAGACCAATTTGTATTACTATTAATAAGAGTGAATTTCTTTTCACTGGGTTAACGCCCTCCAGACTTAAGTGATTTTGCACTGAATCGGGTTACCAATTCGTGTTATTTATATTTTGCTATTATTTTGTCTACTACATAATTAACTTGTCATACACATTATGCCATACATTTTGTTTGACATCTTTCTATCTGAAGAACATGATTTTAGTTTAAATTGGATTGAAGTGTGATACATGGAATGAATCAAGTTGATTGATAACTTATGACCATCATGATTAGATTGTTTCAGCTCATTAAAGATAATGACTTGCTTCTTTAAATGATTGGTGTAATATTATGGTATAAGATTGAAACATCAAGTTGTCACATGAGTCAAGTTGGGGACAGTTAGACTAATTTATTAATCCATCAAATCGGACTCATGTAAACAAAAGTTTGGCTTTAAATAAAAGATGTCTAAATGTGATGATTGTTTGGGCTTTTTGGGTAATTAAGCCAATGAGATTTTTATTTTGAATTTAAAAATAAAATTTAAATCCCTCTTCTCTCTTTTCATAGATATTATGACATGACTGTTGGAATGCGATGTGATTGTTGGAATAAAATACTTATAAAATAGGCACCTTTGAAAACCAACGAACAATTTTTCTCATTCTTTCTATTTTTTAAAAAAATTGAATAAAATAGTATCTTCATTATAAAAAATACACACAAGGAAAGAGGAAGAGAGGAGATAAGAATTTGAATCAAGGAATCAAGAACCGTCGCCATCATAAATCCGAGTACATTCTTAGTATTTTTCATAGAATTAGAACATCGTAAAAGTTTTGATATCAAGATCTCAAATATGCCATGTTTTAACATGTAATTATAAAAAAGAACTAATGTAATAACACTTGTATTATATAAAAATACACTTTTGAGTTCTATCAAAAAAATAAAAAATATAGAAAACAAAAACTTAAATATGACATAAAATTGTCTAAATGCTAATAAAAATAATATATATATATATATATATATATATATATATATATATATATATATATATATATATATATATATATATATATATATATATATATATATATATATATATATATATATATATATATATATATATATATATATATATATATATATATATATATATATATATATATATATATATATATATATATATATATGTGTGTGTGTGTGTGTGTGGCATATTTAATGGGAATGAGTAAGTTATATGAGAATATGAGAATGAATAGGAACTATCAGATTTAAAAAAGGAAAAGTTGAGATTAAATCGTGATTTTCACTAAATCATGTGTCATTAAGAGGAAAGAGAAATCATTAATCAAATTTAAAAAAAATATTTTAATCTCAATCTTTTCTTTTTAAATCTGATGGAGGAGAGAGAAATAAACAACAATCATTAGATTAAATTAATAAGAGAAATAGAACGCAGGTTAACAAGAGAGAGAAATTAATAGTCACATTAATGAATAAGTTTAATCATAATTATTTGACTGATCTAAAAAAACACACATAATTTCCACAATTTATTTTAAAATTTAACGTTTCAAATTCATTCTCATATTCTCACAGAAAAATGACATTCTAATATAATATATATAGGAGGGGATCAATTAACATCAGTATCAAACATTATTTTTGAGAACATATCTTATCCATTAAATAATACTTGATCCAATAGTTTTTATTAACCCTATTAATCATTTTTGTGTCGAATATTATTTTTTTCATCATATCTGATC